TAAACATACTGTTAAATTTTAATGTCTGAATATGTAAATGAATGCTCTTTCAAATAGCATTTGCTTCCATGCATGGAAATGGTCCCTCAGCATCCTGCCCTGAGTGTGAACTAGATAAAAAAGGCTTAAAGTTGTTCTATGCTGCTGCACTGCACTGCCCTTAACAAAGACTGCACTGGGACCATTCCTGATTCCTGATTATTCATCCAAATGCCAGCAAGTGAAGAGACTACCTGCCAGTTCTAAAGAATAGAGGACATGGATGCAAGTATAGAAAAACCTTTGTGTAGAAACACCTTTGAGTAATCTAAGTTTACTGGTAAAAGAAGAGCTGAAATTGTGCTTCCGTTGCCAGGTGACCTTTTAATTTACTGGTGTCTTCTTTATACCCAGGATATGTAGAAGCAGCCTGGTGCTCTTTGCTCCCAATGCCCTAAAAGCTACACATCATTACTCCATAGAGAGTGTTTAGAGAGAACTACAATATATATTTAACCATAGAGCAGTGTGTTTACTTACATTAATGCATTAAATATTGTAGTTCAATCTTTGGGTATACATATAATAAATATCAATCAGGACTTAATCCACACTTAGTTTTTGTTTACTGGTTCAGTGTCAGTCAACAGGGGAAGGTAATAGATTTCTACATGCAGTAGGTAAAAACAGAACTAATACTTCATACATTTATGTCTTGTTTTTAATTTTGAGCAATATTACTTGTCCCCTGAAGGAAAGGCCCTTTGTTTCCAGTTCCAAGAAAACATCACACAAAGAACAAAAATGCTTCCAAATTATAACTTTTTCTTGATATTCCTGAGAAAGCTGATGAGGGAAATAAGTTAATCTAATCTGGCTTAGACATGCTGCCAGGATTTAGTGATCATAAATATTAATTTCTAGGCAAGAAAGATTGAGCAAAGGCAGAAAATCTTAAATTGAGCAAAGAAAATATTTTGTATGAAAAAAGGCATGATCTGAATGAAATATCCCTTTGGCAGTAATAGGTTTTAATTTCACCGTTTGGTGTGCAAACTAATAGACTTCACATAATGATGGTAAAAGAGGGCTGATGGCTTTGCTGTAATTCCTTTGCCGTATTATTACCACCAAATCAAGATGAGGTTATCACATACCCTTGGTAACACTTAGAGAATTTTAGAATTTGTCATATTATGAATAGCTTATAAAGCTATAGCCAGTTGGCAACAGTTACATGAAGAAATAATGAACTTTAATAATATTTTAGTCTAACCATTCTGTATTTTAGCCAAAGGCCTAAGAATTCAGTTGAGTTTAGAACTTAATTTTAGACTTTTGTAATATTGAAATTTTTTTCAGTAATACACTATATTTTAAGTATATTTATTGGGAGAAAGAGTTAACTTCCCAGATTTTTTTTTTAATTTTTAGATGTACAACTGTGTATATAAATAGTTTTTCTTCATTCTGAGTAATTCAGAAGCAAGAAATTCTCCATTATAGAAATTCAGTTTTCTTGATATAGTAGTATGAATATTAAAGTTGAATGATTACTACACATTAACAGTTATAAATAAATCAATGTTTATACAGACCTCCCGTTGTTCAGACAAGTTTATATTCTGATCTATTTTATATTCTGTGCTAGTTTGTGTGGAAGGGGAAAAGATAAATCTTAAGTAACACTTTCTCCCCTAATTAGAACATGGGCCCAAGAGACCAAGTATTTGTGTTATGATCTGAAGAGTTCAAGTTCACCTTCATTGTTATACATTTTCAGTAATTTTTAAATTTAAAAAAATCTATTAATTATAAAACAATGCCACTTTATATAGATTCCGTTATGATGCCTGGAAAAGTCAAGTGGAGAGAGAGTTTGAGAAGGTCAGTTACTAGTACTGAAAAAAATCTAAGGAAATGGATTATTAAGCATAGGATACAAGAGTTCTTTTCTTTTCTTTTCTTTTTTTTCTTTTT